CTGTAAGAGGCGGCTTAATACCTTACAAACAGACTAAAAGATTGGGATATCTCCCAGACCTCACTGATTGTTTCAACTGTTACGAGCCATTCTTTTTATGTGACTCTTGGCATGTGTCCAAAGTTGCTGGATGGATCACTACTCAAACTCCTCTCCTGGGTTACCCCATTTCACCCTTATCCTTAGTGATTGAAATCGGGTGGGCAACGGGGACATTACATTCGAAGCCGCTGCGACAACCCGACCCACGCAAAATGTATCAGCTCCACTCGAGTACCCACTTTACAACATTTCAATCTCCCGTGTCTCAATGGGTCTAACTCCATGCGAGCTGACATGAAGTATTTGTAAACCTGCAATCCTGGTGTGCTTTTGCTTCGCTATCTTGTTAAAAACGAGATACCATATTCGTGCGTTGGTAAGTGATCTACCAGACCCCTGAGCCTCTTTTTAGCTCACCCTCTTAGTCCATCAAATTACAGATTTTTCTTTATAAGTCCCTAATTATCTCCCCTCCTGACGAATCAAAGAACGCTCTACATCTTCCACATTTCCCATAATGCAACTCAATACCATATTTTATCAGACTCCCCCTTGCTAGTAAATGCCTTTGCCCCAGTTTGTAACACGCGCTTTGTTGTCTCTGAGCAAAAGCTAAGATAACCCTAATGATGTCATCAGGGTGACTTTCTCAGCTCCCCCAGAATTACATAAAAAAAGTGAAACCTCTTCTTCTGGGGTGCCTCTTTAAAGTTATTTGTTACCAAATGTGTCAGACAGGCTTGATAAGTCCCCTCGCAGGTTAAGGGTCCTCGCAGGTTTATTCCCAGTAGTCTGATTTAAAACAGGAAATACATGGGATTAAAAGTGTCTGAGAGGTCGATTTACATCATGAACCATCTAAATTAAAAGTTAAATTTGAGATGTGACGACGAGGTGTTTGAGCTCATGAGTCAATATTCAGTCGATAAAATGTTTCAAATTTACTTTAAACTGTTACATACAAGTCAGCCATATGTTAATCCAGTAGATCTGCAGCAGTGAAATGTTTATATCATGGTGATGGATCTTTCCTCACATATAAACATAAAGACACACTTTAGGCTCAAGTTGCCATTACTCACTCTTTCTTCTTCTTTTATTGCTTTATAGTCCCATAATGGTGCCACAGCTGGTTGCTATACCACTGCTAAATTTAACCTCTATGGTTTCATGTTTAGACCGCTGTGATGAGTGAAGGAATGGAGTCAGTTTGGTAAATCCACTACAGTAGTTCAACAGCGCCGCCCTGTGTTTGTTATTTGATATTGCAACAATGGAAAAGTAGAGGAGGAGAGGAGCTTGATGTTAACTGAGGTCATATTCACCGGGTCATTAGTTAATTATTTAAATTATATGAAATGAACTAAATAAATATTACTATCATAGACTCGGGCATATTGCCTCAGGCTTGAATCTCTTAGATATTGATTAGTAAACTACACATTTGTTTGTTTCTAGCTCAGTTACATAAAGAACAGAGCAGTTTTTAAACATTTCTTACTGTGTATCAGAATATATGGCATATTTTTTTCATCTGATTGTTTCTAGCTTATGAAAAACCTAAAGACGAACGATGGAATGAAGAGTGAGCGAGGGGTATGGCAGAGTGATGACGAATACCTGTCAATCAAGTGTGACATAGAATAGAAATATGGCACAATGGGCGGAAAGGAGCACAGTTTGAGCTCCGGGCAAAACGATCTCCACACATGCACCTGGCAAGAAGGACAAGAAGGAAAACTCACCCATGTAGCCCTGCCTCTGGGTGTGTTCGTTACCCACTGCATCTCTAACTCAGTGAACACACTGGTTAATGCTATTATGATTACACTCATTATTCACTCTTGGCACAGCTCAGGATTGTGCCACACCTTATGCAAGGCACCGTATCATTTAGAGTGAGCCGTGGCCTCGCTTTTAATGGTAATTCTGTGTAATTGTGCCTTTCAAATAGTTGCGTTATACAGTAGAGTGTTAATATAACTGGAAGGATTAAACCATCCACAGCGAAGAGGGAGGAGGGAAGATAGTGCAAGTGCACAACCGGAGCAGATAGATCATAAACTTCCACAGTTCCACATTCCTGAGGTTGATAAATGTTTATTTCCATATTTATTCTTTTTTTTTCAGTTTGATTATTCAACATTAACTCTACTCAGTACAACAATTCACTGTACTTACACTGCCTACAAAGACACTGATTGCATATTTTAGCATATTATAACACACTAGCATAACAGGGAAATGGATGAATTCTCTCCTACCTCAAGGTCAATCAGACAATTACAGAATAAAATATGCAGCAGTATCACATTTCTGTTGTTTTAATGAAGATTTAACTGTGTTTGATGTAGCACACATTGCTATTGATAGTTCAGCTCTGCACTTCAGAGCTCCAAGGTCTTACAAAACCAGCTGAAGTGAAGTAACAAGCAAGGAACTCTACAGCTACTTGTAATGTAGATCCTACTGAGGTGTAAAGATATAAATAATATAGAGGGATATGCTATTTAGGAATGCATGTCACACTTTTGTATACAGTAGTCACTATTTATGCTGATACTATGATTTCTGAATTTTTAATCTTAAGTTTAAATCAGTGTTTTCAAATATGTTCTGTATTGTTAACAGAAACCACACATGGTGCACCAAAGTAGTAATCCTAGCCCCCACTAAGGACATTGCGGGTGCTGGCGAAAGACACTCTTTGTGCTCCGTCCGCAGCACCTACGGGACAGAAAGAGAAAGGTGAAGGTATTGTGGTGAAGTACAACATGTGCACACGCGAAGGATGTGAGGTGTAACCCCCCTACGTGATTCGCAGATGAAGTTGAGGAGCTCCTCACAAGGCTGATCCTCCCACAGGTGGCGCTCGCCTTTGGCCATGCCTCCACACGGGTAATGTGAGTAAGAGTATGCGAAAGGGGAAGAGGTTTGTGACCATTTGGTGAATTTCACGGAATCGCCGGACATCCAGAACCACGTGTTGCGCATTATGTACCTGCCAAACAAATTTATTAAGAGATCTGACAAAATGTTTGTTGTAAATGTTGTACATTTAGACATTTTTGTACATTTAGAACACTTTGACAGCTGTTTATTGAGTTTCATATGAGCCAGCCTTATCTTTATGATGTGCTACAACCAATAATTATTTAAATTATTCAAAATTCTTTTTATTAATGCAATGTCACAAATTCTGAACACTCAAGGTGACAGCCCCAAATGCTTTGTTTTGTCTGACCAATGGTCTGTGATGGCCCTCAGCAAGGCCCTGTTGTGTGTGCGTTTTTTCTTTGTTTGACCTTGCTGGTCCAGTGCAACTGGAAGCACTTTGCCAGTCTCCCTGGCAGTCCCAGTGTGCAGGTTCTCTCTGTCTTCATTCTTCTGGCGCCATGTTCTTGTTTGGCTGGCTTCAGCAGTATCAATAGTTTTGGTTTTACATCATACAGCATTCTTCTTTTATCACCTAATCACTTTCCCATCTGCTGATACACTGACAACACTGATTACATAGGTTTGTCACTGGCGTGGCTTCACTTAGAGAGCTGTTAGCAAAGCATCCATGCGTGTCTGTCTTGGAATGGCAGCAATGCAAATGACACACAACATTTGACTCAAAGACCTGTGTCTTTTGAGTATATATACATTTGCAAAATTCAAATTAACTAAGTTTTTTGACTGTATGGAAAGAGAACAGGGTAGGGCACCTGTCTCCTGCCCAATGACATTTTGGCTCAAGAAAATACTTAACTTCGGTTATATATTTTATAGTTTTGTATATTTCAATAGTTTTCATTGGTGTTTTTTTATTTCCAAACTTTGTTTTCAATTCAGTTTTATTTCAATTAAATGTTAAGTTTTAGTTTAGTTTTTATTAGTTTCAGTATTAGTTTGAGATTTCTTTTAAATTATAATATAGGGGTATTAGTCAGGGGCAAGATTAAAGAAGTTCAGAAAAGGTATGACAATATAAACACATTGACTCACAGTCATGTAGACATCCTAGTCTCAATTAACATATGCACCAATGCCTCCTCATGCTTGTAGTGTTGAGAAAACTGACCAAATTGACTAAAACTAAAGACATTTCCTTTATATATTTATTTTAATTTTAGTTAGTTAGTTAGTTAGTTAGTTTAAGTACACAATATTGTTTTGGATGGTTTTCATTTTTCCCAAAGTCTAGTTCTAGTTTTTAGCTTAGTTTTAGTTAACTAATAATAATCTTGCTTGGGACTTTTTTGTCCCAATAATTATTGAGTGAAAAAGTATTAGAAACAAAACATGAAAAAGGAAACACAATGGGAATTTTTGAATGGTATATTATATAATGCTGTACCTTGAAAGATGATTATCAGAGAGGCCATTATGTAGCCTAGATGAAAAACCACACCAGCTAATTTATAAGTCTTGTTAAGTTGTGCTTGAGTGAGACACTGAGCACCTACATGCTCATTAACACAGTCAGAGCATGGACTCAAAGTCTAAAATGTCAATGTGACATTGTGCAGTGTACCTGCGCAATCCCAGCCAGACATAGTCCGTGAGGGGGAAAGGACCACGGCTCAGCAGCTGCTCCACCGCGCTCTGCTCTTCCTCGCTGCGAAGGCTAAGCAGGTCCCAGTGGTGAAGTCTACAGTAGAACAGAGCATCGGACCAGCACAGCCTGTCTCCCACAAGCGTCACAGTCCTGCCACTCAGCTGCATACTCTCAGTGGGAGGAGGAGGAGGAGTAGGAGGAGGGGGAGAGGAAGAGCTTCGGGCTCTGAGTGAGAAAGAATGCTGTTAAGGTTTCTCCTCCCCCCCCCAATTTTTTGTTTATGTGTTAGTTGAGGATAAAAAGTCCCTATGTTTTAATTTGAAGGTTAAGCATTCAGACGAGTGTGGAGGAGATGGCGTGTGATCAATGAGAACTTACCTGTACTGAATGGTAATTGTGAGTGATTATAGCAACATCAGATAAGTAGAATCACACATTATGCTTTAGTAACAATTTCAAGACATGCAACTTAATTTATGTTATTG